ATGCTAGAGCGAGGGTCTGGGTTAGCCGCCCTCAGCCCGTGTCTCTGCACCTATGCTGAGGGGCAGGGGAGGGAAATGGAACCAGCTGGTTCTTTTGTCCCCAGAGAGGTCTCTCTGCAAATACCACCTCTCATAGATGAACACCAAGAAGAGTGAACAGTGTCTCCCTGTGCACCTTAGGTGATCCTCCGATGGCATCTTCTGCCCTAGGGTTGCTGGTCCACCTTCTCTCCAGGGGTAAGACAACGTCCTCAGAGGTCCTTCCTAGCCAAACCTGCCAACCTCTAAAATTCTAGTCTTTGAATACCACTGGTTTGCAAAAACTGATGAAAATCAGTTCCTCTTGTTTCCCCAGCCAATAACTTTGGGGAAGTATTCTCTTTCAGTGTTTCCCTGTGCATTTCACTCTCTCTTGCCTTTCTCCTTGACCTGGGCTCTCTCCCTTCACAACACCAATGATCCATTTCTCCCCCAAACCATGTCTCCATACTTTCTACCTTCCTCAGTGTGGCTTCTTCTCTCCCTGTAGTTGTGCAGTTTGTTTTATCAGTCCTCAGGTTGATTTCCTGGGTATTCAGAATGACTTGATAATTATATAGCTGTGTTCGAGGGATAAAGCAAACCTAGGGTCCTCCTATTATGCCACCATCTTAGCTTCCTTCTGTTTCCATGTATTTTTTTATTTCTTCTTTTATTTCCTGGTTGACCCATTCGTTGTTTAGTGGCATGTTATTTAACATCCATGTATTTGTGCTCTTGACAGATTTTCATTTGTGGTTGACTTCTAGTTTCATAGCTATGTGGTCAGAAAATATGCATGGCATGACATTGATCTTGAATTTGCTGAGGCTTGTTTTGTGGGCTAATATGTGAACTATCTAGAGAATGTTCTATGCACACTTGAAAAGAATGTGCTTTAGGATGAAATGTTCTGAGTATATCTGTTAAGTCGATCAGGTCCAGTGTGTCATTTATAGCCATTCTTTCTTTGTTGATTTTCTGTTCAGATGATCTGTCCTCTGATATAAGTGGGGTGTTAAAGTTCCCTAATATTACTGTATTAATATCAATTAGTTCCTTTAAATTTGGTATTAACTATTTTATGTATTTGGGTGCTTCTATGTTTGGTGCATAAGTATTTATAATTGTTATATCTGCTGGTTGGGTTGTCCCCTTTATTATTACCTAGTGTTCTTCTTTGTCTTTGTTACACTCTTTGTTTAAAGTCTATTGTGTCCAAAATAAGTACTGCCACTCCACCTTTCTTTTGACATTTATTTGCATGATAGATGTTTCTCCATCCCCTCAGTTTTAATCTGCAGGTACGTTTAGGTCTGAAATGAGTCTCCTATAGGCAGCATATAGATGAGTATTGTATTTTTTTATACGTTCTGTTACCCTATGTCTTTTGATTGGAATGTTTAGTCCATTTACATTCAAAGTAATTATTGATAAATATATATTTGTTGCAATTTATTATTTGTCTTGTGGATATTTCTGAAGATTTTCTTTGATCCTTTCCTGTCATTCTCTCATGTTTTGCTGATTTTCTTTAGTGATATATTTGGATTTCTTTCTCTTCATTCTTTGTATGTTTATTAGTGTTTTTTTGATATATATATATATAGTTACCATTAGGTTTTAATATAACCTCTTCTGGATAAAGCAGTCTATATTAAGTTGATGGTTGTTTAAGTTTGAACCTATTCTTTACTCCTCTCATCCCCACATTTTAGATGCATGTTGTTATATTTTACATCCTTTTATTTTGTGAGTTTATTGATTTTTTTTTTTTTGGTGGAAATATTCATTTCTACTGCTTTTGTGTTTCCTACTTTTATACTGTCACTTTTGGTCTCTCCCTTCCACTCAAAGAGTCCCCTTTAATATTTCTTGCAGGGCTAATTTAGTTGTCATGGACTCCTTTAGTTTTTGGGAAACTCTTTATCTGTCCTTCTATTCTGAATGTTAGCTTTGCTGGATAGAGTATTCTTGCCTGCAAATTTTTCCTATTCAGCACTTTAAATATATCATGCCACCCTCTTCTGGCTTGGAAATTTTTTGTTTAAAATTCCCCTGCTAGCCTTATGGGTTTTCCCTTTTAAGTTGCTGAACTCTTTTTTTCTTGCTGCTTTTATTTTTTTTATTTATCACTAAACTTTGCCTATTTAATTACAATATGTCTTGGTGTGTATCTGCTTTTATTTATTTTGATGGGAGCACTTTTTGCCTCCTGGATCTGGATATCTGTTTACTTCTCCAGATTAGGAAAGTTTTCAGCTATTATTTCTTCAAATACATTTTCTACTCCCTTTTCTCTCTCTTCTTTTGGGACTCCTATAATATGAATGTTATTAGATTTGTGAGTTACTGAGTTTCTTATGTCTATTCTCATTTGTGTAATTCTATTTCTCTTTTGTTCAGCTTGATTACTCTCCATTACTCTGTCTTCTAGGTCAATAATTCATTATTCTGCTTCTTCCAGCCAGCTGTTCATTCCACCATATATGTTTCTCATTTCATTTAATGTACCCTTTATCTCTGCTATGTTATTCCTTATCTCTGTGTTAAAGCTCTCATTCATATCTTCCATTCTTCTCAAGTCCAGTGATTATTCTTATGATTACTAGTTTAAATTGTGTTCAGTCATGTTACTTATATCTTTTTTGCTTAAATCTCTGGCCATGGCCTTGTCTTATTCTGTCATTTGGGATAGATTTCTCTGTCTTCTTATTTGTGTAAATCTCTTGCCTGTTTCTCTGTGTTAGAATGTCAGCTATTTAGGGCAATGGCTTTATGAAGAAGTCCTGTAGTGCCCTGCTTTGTGGTATCCCCTGCTTCCCAGGGCCTGCACTTCCAGGAGTGTCTCCAATGTGTGCTGCATATGCTCTGCTGTTTTGTCCTGGCCTATTTGTCCTTCAGACCAGTCATTTGCAGAGGCTGTATTTGTCTACTGTGAGCAGTGTTTGGTCCCTGGCCTAAATGTGGTGCATTTTAACTAGGTGTGTTCTGGTCTGTTTGTGAAATGAGACCTATCACCACTGCTGCCAGAACTGAGATTTTGCAAAACTCCTGTGTTGGGAGACCTGGTGTGAGCAGGGTTTGGGCCAAGCTTCTCAGGAAGGGGGAAGGAAGCTGGCCACACTGGGACTGAGGCAAGGGTTACTGCAAGGGGCAATTCCAGCAGAGCATGGGGGATGTGAGGATTGGTGTAAGCAAGTTAAATAAGTGTCTGAACTATGCTGGTTCCCACAGGTGCCCTCTGTTTATGCTGAAGGGTAAGAGGGAAATGGTGCTGGCCAGTTCTTTGTTTCTAGTGGGGTCTCTCTCTGAGTGTGCTCTCTCTGGGATGTGCTCCAATATGAGCAACTAACTTCCCCACTGTATGCCCCAGGTGCTCTTCAGATTCCTGTTTCCATGCTGTGTGTCTGGGTTGTTTGCCTGCCTTCTCTCCAGGAGTAACATAATGCCCTCAGGGCTCTATTCCAGCCAAGCCCTCTGACCTTTGAAATTCCAGGCTTTACGCCTCTGTGGTTGCCAGAAGTCATGAAAACTCAGCCTCTCTTGCTTTCTAAGCCAGTTGCTATGGGGATTTGTTTTCCCATGTTCCCTTGTGTGTTAGTCTGTCCCTTGCCCTTATCAGTAATTTCAGCTCCCTCCCAGCTGCAGCAGCCACTGTGTTTCTCCCCTAAACCACATCTCTGCACTTCCTACCCCCTTCAATGTGGCCTCTCCTCTTCCTTTAGTTGTGAAGTTGGTTCTCCCAGTCTTTAGGTCCATTTCTGTGGTATTTAGGATGATTTGATAGTTATCTAAATGTAGTTCTGGGGTGAGACAAGCCTAGGGTCCTCCTACTCTGCCACCATCTTCCAACCCCCCCTTTTCTGAAAATATTTTAAAATCTCTTTTTTACATTATATCATTTCACTGTTCTATTTTTAAGCTTTTTTGGGGGCAGGGGATGTTTTGTCTTTTATCTCTATTCTGCTGTTAAATCCATACAATGATTTTTTTTTTTTTTGCATATTCTGTATTATTCAGTTTGGGAATTATCATTTGTTTAATTTCTGTATTTTCCTTGTGTCTACTGAGGCATCTTCATGCATTGTGGGGCTAATATACATTAATTTTTTTTTTCTTGAGACTGAATCACAATTATCTGGTTTTGTTTGTTTGTTTGTTTTGTTTCTTGGTTGGTTGGTTTCTGTGTTTTAACTTAAAATATTTTTAACAAAAATTGACGAGCCTATGTCAAGAAAATAATAGAACTTCACTAATATATATGTGAAGAAATATAAATTTCTGGAAGATAGTATTCAATATTACATATATTTCAGTTCTCATTAAGTAATATCATATATCCATTTCTTTTTGGATTGAAGTACAGTTAACATACATATTATGTTAATTTCAGGTGTACAACATAGAGATTGGACATTTGTATAGATTATAAAATGATCATTATGATGTCTAATTAGCATGTCACCATACAAAATTATTATAATATTATTTAAATTATTTCCTATGGTGTACTTTATATGCCTATGACTTAGTTTTTAGTACTGGAAGATTGTACCTCTTAATCCTTTTTACCTATTTCGCCTGCTGCCCCCAACATCTCTCTGCTCTAGTAACCAACAGTTTATTTTCTGTATCTAGGAGTCTATTTCTATTTTGTTTTGTTTGTTCATTTGTTTTGCTTTTTAGATTCCACATATAAGTGAAAATATATGGTATTTATCTTTCTCTGACTTATTTCACTGACCCTTTAGGTCAATTCATGTTCTCTCAAATAACAAGATTTTATTATTTTTATAGCTGAGTAATATTCCATTGACCTTTATACACTCATCTATCATAGACACTTCTTTATCCATTCATCTATCATGGACACTTACATTGCTTCCATATTGTGGCTATTGTAAGTAATGCTACAATAAATATAGGGATGTGGATATCTTTTTCAATTAGTGTTTTGTTTTCTTTAAATATATACCCAGAGTGGCGAGTGGCGCCCACGGCGAGGAGGGCTCAGCTCGCATGTGGAAGGCTCTCACCTACTTCGTAGCGCTCCCTGGCGTGGATGTGAGCATGCTGAATGTCTTCCTGAAGTCGCGTCATGGAGAGCACGAGAGACCCGAGTTCGTCGCTTACCCCCATCTCCGCATCAGGTCCAAGCCCTTTCCCTGGAGAGATGGTAATCATACTCTATTCCATAACTCTCACATGAATCCACTTCCAACCGGCTATGAAGATGAATAGAGAGAACCTGGACCACCACCCAGTGGGGACCACAGCACTGGTTTGGACCAAGACTCTGCACACGGACCAGAAAAATCTATGGTAGCTCTAGTTTTAAGTTTCTGAGGAACCTCCATAGTATTTTCTATAGTGGTTGCACCAATTTATATTCCCACCAATAGTGCATTCTCACCACTTGTTCCCTTCCTTCCTTCCTTCCTTCCTTCCTTCCTTCCTTCCTTCCTTCCTTCTTCCCTCCTTCCTCTCTCTTTTTTTCTTTATTTTCTTTCTTTCTTTCATTCTTTCCATTCTGTCAGATGTGAATTGATGTCTTATTGTAGTTTTGATTTGCATTTCCATGAAGATTAGTGATGCTGAGCATCTTTTTACGTTCTGTTGGCCATTTGTGTGTCTTCATTGGAAAACTGTCTATTCAGGTTTTTGGATCATTTTTTAATCAGATTTTTTTTTCTGGAGTTGTATGAATTTTTAAATATATTTTGGATATTAACCCTTTACCAAATATATCATTTGCAATCTTCTCCCATTCAGTATGTTGCCTTTTCATTTTGTTGATGGATTTCTTTGTTGTGAAAAGCTTTTTAGTTTGATGTAGTCCTAATAGTTTGTTTTTTCCTCACCTAAGAAGACAGATTTGAAAAAAAAAAATATTGCTAAGGCCAATGTCAAAGAGTTTACTGCCTATTTTTTTTATTTTAGGAGTTTATGGTTTTAGGTCTTACATTTAGACTGTTTATACATTTTGAATTTATTTTTGCATGTGGTGTAAGAAAGTCAATCAGTTTCATTCTTTTTCATGTAGATGTCAAGTTTTACCGGCACCATTTATTGAAAAAACTGTCTTTTCCTCATTGTATATTTTTACCTCCTTTGTTGTAGATTAATTAACCATATAAGATTGGGTTTATTTCTGAGTTCTCTATTTTTTTTCCCATTGGTCTAAATGTCTGTTTTTGTGTCAGTAGCATACTGTTTTGATTACTATAGCATTATAATACGGTATGAAATCTGGTAGCATGATATGTCCAGCTTTGTTCTTTTTTCACAAATTGATTTGGCTATTCTGGGTCTTTTGTATTTCCGTGGTAATTTTAGGATTATTTGTTCTAGTTCTGTGAAAAATGCTATTAGTAATTTGGTAGTGATTGCATTTAATCTTTAAATTGCTTTGGACAATATGGACATCCTAACATGTTTATATTTTTTCAATCCATGAGCATAGTATATCTTTCCATTTATTTGTGCCATCTTCAATTTCTTTCATTAGTGTTTTTAGAGTATAGGTATTTACCTTCCTTGGTTAAATTTATTTCTAGGTATTTTATTTGTTTTAATGGAATTTTAAATAAGATTTTTTTTAAGTTCTCTTTGTGGTATTTTGTTATGTAGGGTAGGGAGTAATGCAGACAAAATAAAGTTGTTATTCCTTCTTTGTCGTGTGCAGTTATTCCCAGACATTTTGTTTGTTTCTTTCGCTGTGTTGCTAAAATTTGTGACGTGGACTGCTGAACATTTACAAGCTGAATGTTCATGAATAGCAGTCTCATGGTTAATCTTTCTCATGGTATGGGGGCTGTGACCTCCTATTCTGCCATTTTGGTAATGGCACATCCCATTCATCCCTAAATAGATACTTGGGCTGCTTCCACATTTTAAGTATTATGAATAATGCTTCTATGAACATGGAGGTACCAATATCTCATTGAGACCCTGTTATCAGTTCTTTTGAATCTATGTCCATGAATGGGATTACTGGGTCATATGGTAATTCTACTTTTAATTTTTTGAGAAACAGTCACATTGTTTTCCATAGCAGCTGTACCATTTGACATTCCCACCAACAGTGCACATGTGTTCCAATTTCTCCACATCTTCTTAACACATGTTTTTGTTACTATTGTTGTTGCTGTAATTGTTTTGTTTTCATATTAGCCATCCTAACAGTGTGAATTACCTCATTGTAATTTTGATTTGTATTTCCCTAATAATTAATGATATTGAGCATCTTTTCATGTGGTTATTGGCTATTTGCATATCTCCTTTGGAGAAATATATTTTTTAAGATCTTATTTATTTATTTATTTGAGAGAGAGAGAGAAAAAGTAAGGGGAACAACAGAGCGAAAGGGAGAAACAGACTTCCCTCTGAACAGGGAGCCTGATGTAGGGCTCAATCACAGGTGCCCCCCCCTTTGGAGAAATTTCTATGCAAGTCCATGGCCATTTTTGAAGTTAGATGTTTAAAATATTTTGTTGTTGACTCTTAGGAATTCTCTATATATTCTGAATTTCATTTATTTTTTTTACCTGGTGGCTCTGGCTAGGACTTCCAGTACTGTATTAAATAGAAATGGTGAATATGCGCATACTTCACTATTTTTAGAGGAAAAACTTTCAGTCTTTCACTATTGAGGATGATGTTGACGTGGAATTTTCATATATGGCTTTTAGTTTCCTTCTACTCCTAGTTTGTTGATAGTTTTTTTTTTTAAGATTTTATTTATTTATTTGACAGAGAGAAAGACAGCAAGAGAGGGAACACAAGAAGGGGGAGTGGGAGAGGGAGAAGCAGGCCTCCCGCTGAGCAGAGAGCTTGATGTGAGGCTCAATCCCAAGACCCTGGGATCATGACCTGAGCCAAAGGCAGATGCTCAATGACTGAGCCACCCAGGCACCTCCGATAGTTTTTATCATAAAAGGTGTTGAATTTTATTAAAGGTTTTTTCTGCATCAATTGAGATGATCATGTGTTTTTTTATTTTATTTTATTATGTTATGTTAATCACCATACATTACATCATTAGTTTTTGATGTAGTGTTCCATGATTCATTGTTTGCGTATAACACCCAGTGCTCCATTCAATATGTGGCCTCTTTAATACCCATCACCAGGCTCATGTGTTTTTAAATCTCATTTTGTTTATGTGGTGTTTAACATTAATTAATTTTCCTACATTGTGCCATCCCTGAATTGCAGAAATTAATCCCACTTGCTTAAGGTTTATAATCATTTTAATATGCTACTGAATTCAGTTTTTTGTTGTTGTTGTCGAGGACTTGTGAATTAATGTTTATAAGGGGTATTGGTCTCTAGTTTCCTGTTGTGTCTTTTTTGGCTTTGATATCAGTGTAATACTGGTCTCTGAATGAGTCAGATAGTGTTCTCTCCTCTAGATTTTTAAGGAAAATTTCAAAGGCATTTGTGGTAGCTCTTTACATGTTTGGAATCTACCAGTGAAACCATTGTTTCAAAAACTTTTTTGTTAGATTTTTCATCACTGACTCAATCTGCACTATTATTATAGAACTTCTCTATAGAATTTCTCTTTTTGATTCTGAAAATCTTTTTTCATATATTTTTATTTTATATTATTAATTGCATAAATGTTTATAATGGCTGTATCTTCTTGCTCTACTGAAACTTTTTTTAAATTTAATGTCTTTCTCTCATGTAATTTTTTTTTTTAAATTTAAAGTCTATATTGTCTGAAATTAGTAGAGCCACTGTGCTCTCTTTTGGTTAGTATTTGCATGGAATATTTTTTCATTCTTTAACATTTACCCTAGTTTCTTTGGATCTAAAGTGAGTCTCTCTTAGATGGCATATTTTATACAGTAGTTGGATTGAGTGTTTTATTCATTCTGCAGTTTCTGTCTTTTTATTGGATAGTTTAATTCATTTAAAATTAAACTGATTACTGACAAAAAGGGACTTCTGTCATTTTGCTATTTGTTTTCTATATTTCTTATAGCTTTCCCCCCTCATGTTTTGCATAACTGTCTTCTTTTGTGTTTAGTTGACTTTCTGTTTTAAATGAAATTCTTAAACTTTATTCTCACTTATTTTTTGCATATATTATTTAGTTATCTTCTATAGTTACCATGGGGATTATATTTAACATCCTAAAGTTATAATGCTCTATTTTGAATTTTTACCAGTTTGACTTCAAGAACATAAAAAAGTTCTGCTCTTTTAAAAGCTTGATTCACATCCCTTTAGTTGTTGATGTCATGAAATTACATGTTTATAAATTGTGTCCCTAAACATAAACTAATAATTTATAAAATGCATTGATCTCTTAAATCAAGTAGAAAAAATGTTCTAAAGCAATGTTCTAAAGTAGTTCTAAAGCAAAGTTACAATAATACTAGCTTTTAAATTAATATATATATTATAAAAATGTTTTTATTTTTAAAATTTTATTTATTTCTTTATATTTAATGTATTTTTAATGAGTTATACACAGGGATAATCCCATGATCTGCTACATATATGTTTACAAACACTTATATTTTAATGAAAGAAGATATTACTTAAAAGATGGATCATATAGTATCATTTCAATGAGTTAAGCATATGGCAATTTCCATATGCTTCTACATGTAAGTTTACAAACACATATCTTTTTTAAAATTTGTTTTTATTTTAATTCCAGTTAGTTAACATACAGTGTTATATTAGTTTCAGGTGTATATCATAGTGATTCAACAATTCCATACATCACTCAGTGCTCATCACAAGTGCACTCTTTAATCCCAACACCTATTTCACCCATCCCCCCACTCACCTTCCCTCTAGTAACCATCAGATTGTTCTCTATATTAAGAATCTGTTTCTTGCTTTGACTCTCTCTCTAATTTTTCCCCTTTGCTTTGTTGTTTTGTTTATTAAATTCCTTATATGAGTGAAATAATATGGTATTTATCTTTCTCTGTCTGACATTTCTCTTAGCATTATACTCTGTAGCTCCATCATCTTTGCAAATGGCAAGATTTCATTCTTTTTTTATGATGGAGTAATATCCCATTGTCTGTATATACCACATCTTCTTTATCTATTCATCAATTGATGGACACTTGGATTGCTTCTAGATGTTGGGTATTGTAAATAATGTTGCTAAAACACAGGGGTGAATATATCCCTTTGAATCAGTGTTTTTTGTATTCTTTGGGTAAATACCCATAAAATAATATATTTTTTAATGTATTAGTCTCTTAAGTCATGTGGGAAGGATGAGTTCTGTCCTACCAGTTTTATAACTCTGCAAAGGGTCACTTCCTGTATCTGTCCAATTTTTTAGT